GAACAGGACGTAGAAGGGGAGGGGAGGGGAGGTGGGTGTCGAAGTTCTGAAAGTTCCAACAGTCCATGTGGGTGTCGGCGGAGGAATGGAACGAGCATGGAGCAAGCATCTTGCACAAGAGGATGATGTAGTGCTCGAAGACGGGCTGGAGGGGATAGGGATCCTGTGGCGGAGTTGGAGCACGAGCACGAGCACGAGCACGAGCACGAGCACGACGGACACTTCCATAAATACTTTTAAAAGAAACATATCATACAAGTCTAACAATCACAATGACAACAAGTTGGAAAATTCAGGTGAGACTAGTATTAGCAGACGAAAATACACAAGAAAAGCAGAGTGGGAACAAACGAGAAGAACAGCAAGCAAACAAAGTGTGGGATGATGTGGCGATGGAGGACAGAAGGATGGATTCAAGAGCTGATGTCAAACAGACTTCTCTTGGGAAGCTTGCTTGTCTTTTCGTCTTCAGCCTGGAAAGGAATTGATAAGCTGATCTCAACCGCCTGTGCCTTCTCCTCCTACCCTGCTGTCTTGTGTAGGAGAACTACCATGTTCTAGAAGACAAGGTAAGGGGAGGGGGGGGGGAGAGAAACATTCCAGACCTTGTGCGGAGTCTTCAGAACTTCCAACCTCGTCGTCCAGCTGACCAAGATATCTATTGATATTCGTTAGCTTGACAGTTGACACATCATGATGAATGGAGAATCGTAAAAAAAACTGATCGTCTCCATGCATGATGTTATTCACAGTAATCTTGTCATCGTCATCATCATTATCATCGTCGTCGTCGTCGTCGTCGTCGTCGTCGTCATCTCCATCTCCATCTCCATCTCCATCTCCATCTCCATCTCCATCTCCATCTCCATCTCCATCATCAAAGCATCGTCTCCTACTTCTCAACATTCCCTCTCTCCCCCCCCCCTCCCTCATCTCACACCTGACTTGGTTTGCCACTTGCTTGCTTGGCGCCATCGGTGTGCGAATCGACATGGGTGAAGGAGTGACCAGAGGAACTTCTTCCTTGAGCATGGGCGACTCCATCACTGCAAAATAGTCAGGCGGACGACCAGCGAGACGATGAGTCAGAGAGGTTGAGGAAGCAGACAGTAAGGAGGCAGCGAAATGAAAGAGGGACGAGGGGGAGGAGTAGGAGGAGGAGGAGGTGGTGGTGGTGGTAGAGGATGTAGAGGAGTAGGAGGAGGAGGAGGTGGTGGTGGTGGTGGTAGGGGATGTAGAGGAGGAGGAGGAGTAGTAGTAGTAGTAGTAGTAGTAGTAGGAGGAGGAGGAGGAGGAGGAGGAGGAGGCAGGGCAGACGACGGCCGGGCAGGAGCATCAATGAGGAGAAGGACGGGGGGGGAAGAGCGACATGCTTGCTCAGCATCTCTCTTCCGCTGCTCTCACCTCCTGCAGCGGAGTTCTGCTCTAGATCGTTGGAGAGGTTACGGATGGTGACTCGAGCATGGTCGTCGGCATCTTGGAAGCTCTTGCTGCCACCGAGAGCGACGTTGAGCCTTGCTGGGGTTGCGTTGGAGGAATCTGACGCTCGGGTCATGCACAGGAGGGCAGCAGAGGAAGCAGACGCACTTGAGACTACCATCCTCAGCCGTTTGCTTCCCAGCACTCGGCGAAGAGCAGGTGCACTCGACACCTTGCTTGCATGCTTGCCGGCATGCTCCATCTGCTGAACCAACCATGGTGAGCTGAAACATACCAAGGCCTCGCGTACATCGAAGCCGCTGCTGCTCGTCCTCATGACTGCTTTCCTGTCTCCCAACTTTGACTGCATCGCAAGATTTGAGATCGGGGACCTGAGTCCAGCACAAGTTCAGCTGAATCATGGGAAAGCGCATCCAGAGCTTGTGACTTACCCCGGTATGTCAACGTTAGTTGTGCCCAGCTGTTGTCGACCTCCCTCAGCCTACAACCAACACATCACTGCGGTTGTAGCTACAGCACTCGTGCACAGCTACATGTTGCAACATCCTCTGTTGCTCTGTCTCTACATTTCTTCTCTTCATCTCCCTCTCCCTCTCCCTCTCCCTCTCCCTCTCCCTCTCCCTCTCCCTCTCCCTCTCCCTCTCCCTCTCCCTCTCCCTCTCCCTCGCCCTTGCCCGCGCCTGCCCCAACCCTCTCGTATCGGAAATGGATGTTCCTGTCAATGTCCATGACCATGTTCCTGAAAAAGAGAGGCAAGGACAAAGACAGAGAAACAGAAAGAGAAGGGGAGAGGAGAAGGATAATAATCAGGTTTCACATAAAGAAGAGGATTAGGGAATGAAGGTAACAAAATCGTGAAGGGAGG